GTGCTGGGGATCAAATCCAGGGCCTCACTCATGCTAAACTAAACTACCCCCCACAGCTTCTTGAATGTTCTAAGAAGGCGGCAAAAATCCCTCCCTTCCTCAACGCTCACAAGACCATGAAATAAAACACCCTTCCCTCTATCCAGTCCTGAGCTTTTCATGCTGGTTTATGTGTTTTCCAGATATACTTTTGTGATTTTCTAGAAAACAATTGTACTTGAGAATTCTGGAGAGCAAACAATCAAGCACAGACTGGCCTCATTTTGTATGGTAGTGCAAGACTAAAAATTACTGTGTAACCCAAAGCTATGCAAAGCAATCACAATAATCAAAGGGTAAAAACTATGATTATTCTGTGATCTTTAACAATTTTTGTTAAAACCTTAAAATTTCTCTGTTTATTACAAATGTATAAGAAAATAAAAAATAATAAAGTGAATATTTACTTATTATCATAATTTAAAATATCAGAGGGGCTGGGGTTGTGGCTCAGTGGCAAAAATGCTTGCCTAGCATGTGCGAGGCACTGGGTTCAATCCTCAGCACCACATAAAAATAATAAATAAATAAAATAAAGGTATTGTGTCCAACTACAACTAAATTTTTTTTTTAAATAAAATAAAATATCAGAAACAGCTAGGCACATACAGTCCCAGCTACTTGAGAGGCTGAGGTAGGACAAGTGCCAGCAGCTTGAGAGGCTGAGGAAGGACAAGTGCTTGAGACCAGGAGTTCAAGGCTAGCCAGGGCAACATAGTAAGATCTCATCTCAAAATACAGAAATAAAGGTTGAAATTGTGGCTCAGTGGTAGATGCTTACCTAGCATGTATGAGGCACTGGGTTCAATTCTCAGCACCACAAAAAATGAATAAAATAAAGGTCCACTGACAACTAAAAAATATTTAAAGAAATAAAACATAAATACAATAAAACATCAGAAACACTGAGCATTAGGATGTTCAATTTCTTTATATAAACCTAACAAGAGTAATTTGAACCATGCTTGCTTCTTTTCATTGCATAATTTACAATATATAGCCAGCATCTTTTCCATGCCTTGGTGAACTTTCATAGTTCTTTATTCTAACTTTGCATCACTCCTAACATTTCATTCTTTGTGCTTTCAATATTGTGAAATATATCTGAGAATTCTTTTAATGCAAAGTCTTCTGACTATATTACTTCCTATAGAACTCTTCATAATCGCCTAACGAATAGGTTCCCTTTCCCCGAAGCTCCTCTGGCTGCATATCTAGTCTGTCAAATGGTAGAAGCATCAACATGTACCCAATCAGCTATTTCTTTTATAGCTCATTTATGTTCAATTTAAATTTCATTTTGAGCATTATCACATATTGTTTCTCTATTGCATTTTTACCTTTGATTGCTAATTACTTCGTTCAATTATCAACTTTAAAAAAAATCATGTGGGTCAATTACAGAGAAGTAGGCAACACAACCACTCAATTTGCACACTGTACATAAAATAAATAGTATGCACAGGGATCGGTCACTGACAGATTTTGAAAGAAGTGTTGTGACTGGTCACTAATTAAGAATGTGCACCTGTTATTTACATGTGATTTGTGAACTGAGGGCTTCCAGCTATTATTTTATTATGCATGCACTTATAGTTCAGATCCTGTGGTACACTGAAATTAGAATCATGTTCTTGGGGGGAAACTGATGAATTTAAACCACAGTTAACTGAACTATTTAATTGTAGGAACCATGCAATATGAGAACTGCCTATAATATAACCCATTATTTTTATATTCTTTTCTATAGGACACTAATTATGAGTGTGACAAAAATATGAATGATTTAAGATTAAAAGGAGACTTCAATGAAATTGTGTTCTTCTTTCCTAGATTCCCAGATATGTGAGGTTGTTTTCTGTTATCAGGGAGACTTTGATAGTAAAATTTGAGAAGCTCAGCCTTATGGATAGAATGATCCCATACATGAAAATTCCACTTCACAGAATGGGCTCTAGGGTACTTGGTCTATGTAGGCATAATAGGCTGTAAATATCAGGAGAGAAAGGGTAAAGGGGATAAAGAAAACAGCCCCTACTATATGTAGACATGCTTCAATTTTATAACAGTTATACTCTTATTACAACCCTGACTGGCAGATATTGTTAATGATAAAAATATTTAAAGGTGAATTTGAGCCCAGGTCACCACATTAAGAAGTATGAAAAAATCTTAGGCTGGAGCTGAGACTCAGCATTGGAGCGCTTGCCTTTGAACATGTGAGGCACTGGGTTCGATCTTCAGCACCACATAAAAATAAATAAATAAAATAAAGGTATGTGTCCATCTATAAGAAAATATTAAAAAAAAATAAGTATGAGGGGCTGGGATTGTGGCTCAGCAGTACAGCGCTCACCTAGCTCGTGCAAGGCACTGGGTTCAATCCTCATCACCACATTAAAAAATAAATAAATAAAATAAAGGTAATAAAGATATTGTGTCCAACTACAACTAAGAAAAAAAAATCAAAAAAGAAAAAGTATTAAAAATCTATGTTAACTCTAACTCCATTTACAAATAACATTCAGATATATGGGTAGTAAGAACGAAGGTAGAAGAGATGGACTTTTATGCTTGCCCTAATTTGAGAGCTAATTTTCCTCAATTTAGGAAGTTTTTTGTCTTCATAATGATTCTGCCAAACATTTTTTTTTAAAATTTATTTATTTATTTATTTATTTTTAAAGAGAGAGTGAGAGGGGAGGGGGAGAGAGAGAGAGAGAGAGAGAGAGAGAGAGGGAGAGAGAGAGAGAGACAGAATTTTTAATATTTATTTTTCAGTTCTCGGCGGACACACATCTTTGTTGGTATGTGGTGCTGAGGATCGAACCCGGGTCGCATGCATACCAGGCGAGCACGCTACCGCTTGAGCCACATCCCCAGCCCCTCTGCCAAACATTAACGCTTACTCGAAGCCTTCTCAGAATCCCCAGGCTTAGGAAACTCTTCCTCAATATTTCACTAACAACTGTATAGACCTCTACTAGATTTTCATCATCTTTTTTGCTTATATGGTTATAAGAAGTCAAACGGAGATCAATAATTGCAGACAAGGCAATAGGGAACTGATTATGATTAACTTTTACTTGCATTGGGTTTAGTTTGCTCTTCTTTTTCCAGTATATATTTTTTTTTTTCTTGGTGCTGGGGACTGAACCCAGCTCCTCATTTTTATGTAGGTGTTCACAACTATACATTTCCTGCTAAGCACAGCTTTAGCTCTAATTCCGTAAGTTTTGGTATATTAATTTTTCATTTTCTTTTTTTTTTTAAAGACAGAGTGAGAGAGGAGAGAGAGAGAGGGAGAGAGAATTTTTAATATTTATTTTTTAGCTCTTGGCAGACACAACATCTTTGTTGGTATGTGCTGCTGAGGATCGAACCCAGGCTGCACGCATGCCAGGCGAGCGCGCTACCGCTTGAGCCACATCCCCAGCCCTAATTTTTCATTTTCATTTGTCTCAAAATATTTTCTATTATATTTCTTCCTTGACCCATTGATTATTTAGGAGTATTTGTACATATTTGTTAGCTGCACAAATGTCTTTGTTATTAATTTATAATTTTACTCCATTATAGCTGGAAAACATACCTTGCATATTTTTAGTCTTTTTAAATTTATTGAAACTTGCTTTTTGACCTACCATATAGTCTATCTTGGTCAATGTTCCTGTGTATTTGAAAAGAATGTGAATTCTGCTATTGAGAGAAGACATACATATCAGTTAGTCAAGGAAGCTGGTGGTATTTTTCATGCTTTTTATACCCTTACTTATTTTTGTCTATTTGTTCTATGAATTATAGAGGAAGATGTGATAAAATCTCCAGTTGTAATTGTGGATTTGCCTATTTCTTATTGCAGTTTGTCAACTGATAAACTTCATTTGTTTTGAAGCTCTATAAGTGCATACACATTTAAAACTACTAGGTCTTCTTGATATATTGATCCTTAAAGATCATTATGTGATGCTCCTCTTTATCTCTGGCAATACTTTTTGTCTGATATTAATACAGCTGCTCCATTTTTCTTGTGTTTAGTACTTGAATGGCATGTCCTTATATTTAAACTAAGTTTCTTGTAGACCACATGGTTAGACTTTTTTTTATAATAAATCTGACAATTTCTATCTTTTTAATTGCAGTGTTTGACCATTTATCTTTAATGTAATTATCAATGCACTGGGTTTAAATCTACTAACTTGCCTTTTGTTTTCTTTGTCCCATCTATTTTTCATTCCTTTTTCTCTATATTCTTTTGGACCATTTGGGTACTTTTTTTTGGGGGGGGGGCAGGCACACTGGGGATTGCACCCAGAGGTTCTTTATTACTAAGCCACATTCTAGCCCCTCTTAAAATTTTTTATTTAGAGACAGGGTGTCACAAAGTTGCTTAGGGGTTCGATAAGTGGCTGAAGCTGGCCTTGAGCTTGTAATCCTCCTGCCTCAGCCTCCTGGGTCACTGGGATTATAGGTATATGCCACCATGCCTGGCCGTTTGGGTACTTTTTGCAATTTTATCACCATCATTGGCTTATTAACTACATTCTTATTTATTTATTTAACTTCATTTTCTTATTTATTTATTTATTTTTAGTGATTGTTCCATGACAGGGGCTGGCACATAATGGCACACAGGCCAAATCTGACTCACTGTTTTTGTAAATAAGGTTTTATTGAAACATGCAACCTACATCCATTTGTTTATCTATTGTCTATGGATGCTTTCATGCCATAACAGCAGATTTGGATAACTATAAAAAACTATATAACCTGCAAAGCCTAAAATATTTACCATCTGAACATGTACAGAATAAGTTTGCTGACCACTGCTCTAAAACTTGAAAATTAAGATCTTGAAACAAATTGCATAATTGTACTTCAAATACAAAGTGTATCAAACACTGACTTAGAAAGTCTATCCTCAGGAGATATCAAAGTCAATTCCTCAGATAATTACTCACATTGTTTTCCTGGTTCTTGTTATTTTTCAAGAGTGTGATAATACAATTATGAATAAAGAAAGCAAGAGTAAGCACTCCAGTCAGCTGTGGGAACTGATATCTTATCTCTAGGAGAAAAAGAGACAGAAACAAAAAAGTTAAAACTGACAAGTAGAAAATGAGTATCAGTAGTCAATAAAAATCAGTTGTCTCTGTTTTGTCCAGGGAATAAGAATATTAAAATATCTTTACAATGTTCCCAAGGTCAGTATTATACTCAAGCAAAGAAAGGAAAAGAATCAAGAAATGTCTATTCTGGGGCTAGGTTGTGGCTCAGCGGTAAAGAGCTCGCCTAGCATGTGCAAGGCCCTGGGTTCGATCCTCAGCACCACGTAAATAAAATAAAGATATTGTGTCCAACTACAACTAAAAAATAAATATTAAAAATAAATAAATAAAATAAACTTAAAAAGAAATATCTATTCTGTATAGGTACTTTATATCAATTATTCCTGATTGAAGTCACATGACTATTATATAGCTGAGCAGAATTCAAATTCAGGGTCTGACTCTAAAATCCTCTATTTTTCTAAGATCTGAATTTGCCAGAAAATTACTTCTAGAAAAGGATGGAGAATAAAAATGATCATTTAATATTTTTTGATGATGTCTAAAAAGCAATACTTAAGCTGGACAAGGTGGTGCATTCTTGTAATCCCAGTGATTTGGGAGTCTGAGACAGGAAGACAGCAAGTTTGAGGTGAGCTCCAGCAAAATAAAAACTAAAAACTTTAAAAAAAAAAAAAAGAAAGGGGACTAGGAATGTGGCTCCATGGAAGAGTACCCGAGGGTTCAATGACTAGTACTGGAGTTGCAGGGGAGGATTGCTTAAGTTTTAGAGATAAATGTCTGCTTAGAGGGGACTGATTAGACTATAATAGAGTTGTACAGTGGTATACAATATTTAAAAATTATGTTGTTGAGGAAGATTTTTTTTTTTTGGATTTATTTTTATTTAAAAAAAATACATGTGTGAGGCTGAGGTTGTAGCTCAGTGGTAGAGTGCTTGCCTAGCATGTGTGAGGCACCGGGTTCCATTAGCACCACATAAAAATAAATAAAATACAGGCATAAAATACAATAACATTAAGGGGCTGGGGTTGTGGCTCAGTGGCAGAGCGCTTGCCTAGCATGTGTGAGGCACTGGGTTCGATTCTAGCACCACATATAAATAAATGAATAAAATAAAGATGCATCAACAGCTAAAAAAAATTTTTTAAAAAAATTTAAAAAATACAAAAATGTACGAATGTATGGGCAAAGGAAGGATAAGAACCAAGAATTGTCTATTCTGTATAGGTATTCTGTTTTTGTAAATAAGGTTTTAAAACTTTGCTGTGACAGCTGTGGGTATACTACTCCGATCTCTTTTTGAGTGAGAATTGGAAACAAGAAGTACAGTTAGCTGATGGCCTAAAGCTGCATGCCCTTATGGATCTGCTGCCCTGATCACGCACCAGTCATATTTTACTGGGCCTCGCTGAGCCAACAACTGAGCACAGCAGAGTACTAGGGCCTGACTACTTCTGCCTAATCCTGGATTTCTACACTGGTAATCTTTAACCAGAGGTTCACATTTGGGTTGTCTAAGACTTTCTGAATCTATTTCTGCTCAGTCCATCTCCTTTCCTTCTCTCCTTTCATAGAGCTCTGAGTCACACTGTGGTCCTACTAGTCACCTATGACTCCTGCTCCCCTCCCCCAATCCCTTTATCTTTCATTAAGGGCTACCACAATTTCTTATACTTCTCACTCCATATCTGTGTTTGCTCGTAAGAGAACCTGAACTGACAAGAGTTGGTATTGGAAGTGATGTGATAAAGAGGGCAGTAAGAAGGGATTTGGGTCTTGGGTCACTTATTCAACTTTCAGTTATCATCCATGCTGACCTCATGCTATCTTCCAAGGTTCTCCGAGTGTTTTCACTATCATTATTTTGAGGGATACTGTGTTAATTTAGAGAGAGTGGATAAATGAGGCTATAGTACTTCTGACCTTTTCCTTCTTTTTGGTATTATTGGACTGCAGCAGTCCTATTATGAGTTCTGTTTATGGGCAGGGAATTACAGGACTATCTTTCTTTGAGTCTCCTGAAGACAGAAGCCCATCTTCCAAGTAAGGAGGAAGGACAGTCTTATAGCTGGCCTCCAAAGTTATTTTTAGTTTTAAAAGAGAAGAAGGCTTTTGGGGCTGGGATGTTGGCTCAGTGGTAGAGCGCTTGCCTAGCATGCATGAGGCACTGGGTTTGATTCTCAGCACCACATACAAACAAAATAAAAAATTTCATCAACAACTAATAAAGATTTTTTTTTTAACAAAAGAGAAGGCTTTTCATGATTGAGCTTCCGCCTTTTAGCCCTTCCTTTTTCCCTATTACTTCCTCAGCAAATATTCTTTCACTAGCCATTCAAATCCTCATAATTTCCTAAATAAGTCATGTTATTTCAGGCCTTCACTGTTGCTTGAACATGTTGTTCCCATGACCTGGCATATTCCTGTCCCCCAGTTCTTCTCTTAGAGAACTCCTGTTGGCTGGCCCTTTAAAAAATTCCCTTTTGAACCCTTTTCTGACCCCTAACTTATTTATAAGCAATTCCTCTATCCTGTTATATCTACTGTGCATATCTTTGTATTATGATTGTTAATTCACAATAATTAATTGATCTTAATGCTCAGCTGTAACCTCATGGAGGGCAGTGGATCATCTCTTATATTACAGTTTGTCAAGTGTTAGGGGTACTCATTTATTCTTAAGAACTGAAGGACTCTCAGCCATGAGAAATGTCCAAATTCTATTTTAAACTGCTTTCAGAATGATTTTGATTTTTGCTAAGACTTATCAGTTTTCAATAAACTCTTTTTCAATTTGGCTGACCTTGTCTTTCAGAGCAGCCAGCCTCTATGACCTCTAAGTCATCTTGTGAAGTATTTGTTAGTTGGTCCTTTGCCACCTTTTCTAATTAATTCAGATGACATCAATTCTATGTTTCTAACTTGTCAAATTACAGTGGTAAATATCCAGCTTTTTGCAATTAAGTAGACAAATCACTTTTCAAATAAATTTCTTGCAAACCTGAGATTCTCTTAAGTACACATTTCATTTTTTTTCTTGGTTGTTCAAAACATTACAAAGCTCTTGACATATCATATTTCATACATTAGATTCAAGTGGGTTATGAACTCCCATTTTTACCCCAAAT